TTTTTTTAAAAGCCAGTAGGAACTGAGAGATTGGCTGGGGTCAGTTCCTATTGGTCGATTGTTTCTGGCCAATAAGAGCTGAGGATTGGTCTGTGGGCGGGGAGATCACATGAAGCCTCCCTCTCCCTGCAGAGAGCCACTGGACTGCACTTTAAACCATGTAGCTGTGTGCCTGATAGGGTGGACCTGGCCCCTGGGCCATATTTGGCCCAGCCTTGTTATAGCCAGATCATAGAGAATACGACCAAGGTTATTGATGAGTAGATGTGATGCATATGGAGAAATTCAGTCCAACCATCCAAAAGAGACAATGGCTATGTCTACACTACACTTCTTTTTTGGAAAAAGGTACGCTCTGCAATTTGCATACCTTTTTCTGATTCTTTTTTCGGAAGAGGCTTTTCCGAAATTTGGCTCATCTACACTGGGCCAAATTTCGGAAAAACCTCCTCTTTCAGAAGAGCTCTTTTTCCTCATGAAACGAGGTTTACAGGGCTTCCAAAAGAGTGCTTCTGCTCTTCCAAAATAAATTTCAGAAGAGCAGATGCATTCCCTGGATGCGGCGGAGTTGGAAAATTCCATAGTGTAGATGTAGCCTTCCTGAACTCCCATGCTATGGAATAGGGGATTGGTACCTACACAGTAGCCGTGGCCATAGTAGCTGAAGCTGGCAGCACTGCCACTGGTATCTGGTGCTGTTACTTGCTTGGTGCCCAGGGTCCTGCATGCATGGGCCCCAACAGCTGGGCTGAATTTGATGATGCCAGTCCCAAGTATCAGTGCTTGCCTTCCTTGCTGGCAGGAAGTATCTAAGCCCTACACAGCAGCATCTCTCCTTCGTGCACCAGGACTGTGCAGCCCTGCCATCCTGGAGAATGGGTCCTTTGACTTAATTCAGCAGCGGCTGAATCTGGATGCCAGTTCCGACTTACATACAGATTCAACTTAAGAACAAACCTACAGTCCCTATCTTGTACGTAACCCGGGGACTGCCTGTATATAAAACCAGCATATACATAATATATATAATGTATACAGTATATAATGTATACAGTATATATATATATAGTACCTCTTGATAGTCCGGCATATCTGATAATCCGGCACCACCTAGGTCCCATAGGTTCCGGATTATCGGAAGTCTACTGTATATTGGTGGTGGGGGGGGAGGGGGGTTCTGGCCTGTCTCGGAAGCTAGCTGAAGGGAGTGATCTATCATTAGCAATCTAAGTTTGATCTTTCTGGCTTTCCTTGCTCCACACTTGAAGGCCAGAAGCTGCACTTCTGGATGCTGTGAGACTCCTCCAAGCAACAGACACACAGTGTGGCCGTCATTCACAGTGATAGCCTCTTGGCATGAAGGCTGCATCTGAAACCTGGCAAGACAGCAGTGCCCTGCCAGGAAAAAAATAAGTCTTCCCAAAAAGG